TTAAATTAATTTTAATAAAGCAGTGGGTTTTCAAATGGGGGTTAAAAATTTCAATCTGTTTAAAAAAAAAAAAAAAAAAAAAAAAAAAGCGAAACAAAATCCCGGTCACGCAGGCTTCCGTAGGCAACAAGAGCGAAGGGACCTGCTCACATCCTCATCCTCTGAGCATCTTTCTATGCTTTCCTACCATCTTTACCCAAACAATCACAGTACGATGACGGGAAATCTGGAAAAGCTGCAGTTACATTCTTTGCTTTGGGTTCGGGTATCTTTACGGGTCGGGTTCGGATTTTGGCTCAACGTGAGGCTGCTTCCTTGATGAGGAGGAGAGGACGTAACAGTCTGCGCGTTCACACAAAAAGAGCACAGTTATCCCGAGCAGATCCCGATCTGAACCTCCTGCTTGTAAGAGGGTTTCTTCAGTGAATGCAACGTAGGTTTGTTTTTTTCCTCGGTTAATGTGAAGAGAACCAGAGAAACCTGCACAGATACAACATGAAGGTAGGTGCTCTCTGTCTCTGCTTGCTTTCTGGAACGCATTGTTTCGTTCTGCCTGAAATACATGCTTCCTTTTGTCTCAATGCTCCACACACACACACACACACACACACACACACACAACCAGACGTCCCGCAGCAAACATTAAGTTGCATTTTTACCAAGTTGTGGATATTGTGAAGATCAGATCGCATCTACTTCCCCCTACCCCTCTGTTCTCCCTCCTCAGGAACATTTCCATGAATTAGCAGCATCCTTACACCCGCCATTCTAGGCTTCCCTCATCCGCTCTAGTCTATTACTGCTCTTCTCTTCTGCCCGCTGATATGAATCAACTCTTAAGAATGGTGCAAACATTTACTTTAGATGTGAAATCTTACCATAATTGCAGCTGCTGTTATTAGGAACGATGTGTATAACAGAACCCATCCATCTCTGCATGTCTAATATTCCAGCATGAGCACAGTAGGAGCAAAGAGTGTGCACTGGCAATGAGAGGGGGAATGTACAGGAAGAACAGGATAAAAGGGATGGATCCTCATCAAGGTGCTTAACCTAACCGGACGTTCACACAGAAACTCTGCACCTAGACTAAAATCCTGTCTGACATCTTTCTCATTTATGGTACAGTATCTCTTAGGGGCAGCAAAAGTAGGAAGTGGACTAGAACCAACTGATTTGTGAGAAGTTACTTCTAAAATAGACTTTGCTTTGCTGGAATGCATTGTGTAATTTTGCTTTTTAACACTGTATGCTTAGACCATTGCTCTGGTCATGTCCAATTCAGTGTGAACATGGTTTCTGCCTTTGTTTTTCTCTGTGTACCCTTGTATACAGCATGTATAGGGTGTACATGCTGTAAGACTGTTAGAATTATTTGATTTGGTTATCATCCTTTGATTTTACCACTTGAATTAGAAAAAAAAAAAAAAAAAAAAAAAAAAAAAAAACTTTAAAATGCCCCACCACAGGAGGCCACGCGGGGCCAAAAAAAATATTCCCCCATTTTTTTTTAAA